TATGTTGTTTCTATGGTGTTCTGTGTAGTTATGTTGCTATGTAGTTGCTATGGTGTTCTGAGTGGTTATGTTGCTATGTAGTTGCTATGGTGTTCTGAGTGGTTATGTTGCTATGCAGTTGCTAGAGTATTTTGAGCGGTTGTTAATTTGTTGCTATGGTGTTCTGAGTGGTTATCATGTTGCTATGTAGTTGCTAGGGTGTTTTGAGTGGTTGTTAATTTGTTGCCATGCGGTTGCTACATTGTTCTGATTCATTGTTAATATGTTGCTATGCGGTTGCTACAATGTTCTGAGTGGTTGTTAATATTGTTAATGTGTTGCTATGCAGTTGCAGGGCTGTTGCGAGTGACTAGAATGTTTCTAGCTGGTTTCAGGGGTGTTATAAAACGGATAGTTCCGGTACTTGATTCTGATTGGCTGAGCCACGTTCAAAGCTGTTGTAAATTACTCTACTAACATACACCTGTTTACTTCTGTGTGTTGCTTGGCAACCACTTTGTTGCAACCACAACTGTTTCTAAAGAACTACATTGTTTGGTGGAAGAATACTGTTTTTATTAATATCATTACACTTTATTTGCTCGGTTTTATTTTGTGAAACCTAACTACGTATATGGAATAACCATTTTATAAAAGCAATAAGCCCTGTGAAGGGCTTCTTGGGGCTTATTGCTTTATTCTAAATGGTTGTTAACATGTTGCTGTGTGGTTGCTAGGGTGTTTTGCGTGGTTATTAGGATGTGTTTAGCTGTTCGCAGGGTGTTCTAAATTCAATTTTTTTTCTATATGGGCAGTTTAACTACAATGTGACATGTAAAGCTCCATTTAAATCAACAGGTTAACAGCTAGATTTAATGCTAAACTACTAATGTGCTACTACTAAACTACAAAGATTTTGAATAATACTATATAAAAATATTTACTAATACATATCTGGTAATATATTAAAATATTCATGTTTAAATATTCCTATTAATATACATTTTATTATATTAATATCTCCAAGCATGAGCAAAAGCAATAGGTCAAACCTCAGCATGATGCACCACTACAGCTGTGCTATATTAAAGGAACTAGAGGTAAAATCTATGGAGACCAGCCAGACTATATGAATTATACAGGAGTATAAATGTTTCATATCAGTCTCTCTTCCAGACTTACCAGAGCAGAGTGCATGCCGGTATAAAGACGACTCAGACACACCAGCGCAGACAAAACCACGGCCACAATCAGTCCCAGTTCAAACGGGAACTAACATGCAAAGACAGAATAACGAACAGTTCAATCAAAAATTTGCATTTTAGCAACAGTCAGTTTGATGTAACATATGTCAAAAGTGGACATGTTTGAATGTAAACAAATACAAATTAAATTTGAAAGCTATGGCAGAGGATAAGATTTTCCATAAACAATGTGCTGAATTTGATCCACTCTACACAAAAAGCTATCGTTTAGCTTCAGAAGACTTTGTTATATAGCGCATGAGGCATATGAACTACTTCTATGGTGTTTTTTCCTCCTTAATCTTAAGTCTTAATCAAAACATCCTCTCATCCATCTTTCCTCATCGTCTTTTCCTTTCTCTCTCTCTATGTTGCAGTCTCCATCCATTCTGTGTGGCAGCTCTTCTCCTAATAACATCTCTTTTCTCCTGACATGTGCTCTTCCCTCTGGTTTTAATTCAGAACTGTGTTAATCACCGACAACACTGGAAGAGGCTTTACATATTCATGAAGTTGCTCCGCCTCCTCTGTTCTGTCTTACTCCATCCGTCTCCCTGTCTCTCCATCTGTCTATCTCTCCTTTCCTTTCTTTCTTCCTCTGTCAGCCGGGGGTCTTTCACAGGAAGTTAATGAAGAACGTTTCCTGAATGGGCACAAAGGACTGTGGGACAGTAGAGCTCATGTATAATTGACAGGAATGGCTTTTTTTTTTACTCTTAAATCATACACATACAGCTCTCTGGATTCCTTTACGTACAAAGAACGTTTTTCAAATCAGTTCATCTTTTTCAGCTAGTAATTTAACCATTTTTAAGTAGGGCGACAATATAGTTGAGCCATTTTCAAAACTGAATGTCTGGACTAGTAACTAATTACTTTTTCTCTAATGCTCATTAGGACTGCATTTATTTGCTCAGAAATACAGTAAAAAACTGAAATATTTTTACTATTTAAAATAATTATTTTCCATGTAAATATATTGTAAAATGTAATTTGTTCATGTGACACAAAGCTGAATTTTCAGCATCATTACTCCAGGCTTCAGTGTCACATGATCCTCCAGAAATCATTCTAATGTGTTGCTCAAGAAACATTTATGATTATTATCACTGTTGAAGAGAGTTGTGCTGCTTCATATTTTTGTAGAACCTGTGATACATTTTGTTAGGATTAATTATAAATAGAAAGTTCAAAAGAACAGCATTTATTTGAAATAGAAATTGTATAACATAAATGAATGCAACTTTACAATCCACTAATAAAGTTTTATAATGCTTATATGCGTGTGCTACTGTGTGGCCTGTATAAAAGGAGCACAGAAGTTTATAGGTTTACACTTACAATTGAACCAATATTTGAAAACACTCAAGAGTCAAAGGTTTGAAAGCTGATGGATGGCACCGTCCACACCTGACGCTGATTGACAGTCATTTACTGAGAGTTCATTATAATTGCACACAGCAGATGTGTGGGCAGGACTTGGGCTGACTGATGGTGACAGAAGGCCCCGCCCCTTCAGTGATCGATGCAAAAACAAACCACATTCAAAACATTCTCAATCTAGCATGTCTGACCTTCACTCTCTCCTGAGCACTGAGAAGCAGTGTAAATGAGATGGCCGTCGCTGCCATGGCGTGTGTGGATGGCATCCCGTACTCCGCGTCCACACGCGTCTCCAGTTTGACCACAGGGGGAGACGGAGGACGCGGCAGCTTTAACAGATCCTTCATCACTTGTCCAATATACATCACCACCTGTAGAGAGAGAGAGACAGAGAAATGAGATGTACAAGGGAAATACAAAAATAAGTACTCTCTCTGAAAAAACAAACAAACGTAGAAATACATACCGTTTAGGTAGCTATTAAAATGCATACTTTTATGGTACTAATATGTACCATTGTGGGGTAAATAAGGTACAAAGGTATACCTATTGGAAAGGTAGTGACCAGTGACAGCTTTTGTACTTTCTGAGATTGTAGAATAAGATTATAATGCAACACAATACCCAAAATTGTTACTTTTTTTTGTTAGCATTTACAGCATATTGCCAGATTTAGGTGACTATTTCCAGTTCAGTGTTATTTTAGTACTATACTATTATAGTATTTATTAATACATTTATACATTAATATTTTATTAATAGGCCTACATTTATTAACGTCTATACATATGTCTATTTTTTATTTCGGTTTCAGTTTTAATTTTAGTAGGCTACTTCAAATTAAACTACACAAAAATGAGAAATGTTGTTTTTCTGTTAGAGTTTATCGTATTTCAAGCAACAAAATGTTGTAATGGTTTCAGTTTTAGGGTTTGTTTACCAGACAAGTATTGCACTAAAAAGCAGAAGTTTTTCTTTTGTTTTTACAAAGTTTTGTGTTACAGACGACAACTTTGTCAAGAACATCCCTGTTCACACAGATCCGCAAAAATGACTAAAAACGCTGTATTATGCATGCCATGACAGTAGTTGATTATTTCACTTAGAAGCACTTATGTAAGGAAACATTACGGGCCTGCACACATATGCATTTCTATAGACCACAGGTGTCAAACTCAGTTCCTGGAGGGCCGCAGCCCTGCAGAGTTTAGCTTCAATCCTAATTGAACACCGGTCCAGCTAATCAAGTCCTTCGGGCTTATTTGAAAAAGACATGGTTTGTGTGTTGAAGCAGGGTTGGTACTAAACTCTGCAGGGCTGCGGCAATCCAAAAACTGAGTTTGACACCCCTGCTATAGACTGAACATATGATGTCACCATTTTCATAAATTCATGTTTTCGGAGTTTACACAGACACGATAAAGGTGTCATTATTGAAAAATGTCCACTCCGAAACCCGTTTTCAAAAGTTTGCATTTTCAGGCTCCCAAAATACTGTTGTCGTGTAAATTAATGGCCAAAATGCAAAAAAAACAAGTTATTTAAAAACGGTCATGTAACACCCCCCTTAGTTAGCGATAATAACCTTGGTTAAATCATGACAGGAGATATAGCAACAATTCAAAATGAAGGCTCACTGAATCTTTGAGCAAATGAATAACATCTCTCATGTTAAATTTAGTTCATTATAAATAGCTACGAACCAATCAAATGCAGTTTGTCTAATGCTGTTGCTGTGGAAACTATATGTAAACTTGTGGAAACAGCATAAAGTGAACAAAGATATATAACAGAAAAACTAAGGAAAATGAATAAGAGAATTTGGTTTGTGTTACAACAGCTGTCCAAGTTCAATGCTATTTTGTTTCTGTCTATTCTAAACTTTTTCTCCTCCTTGCAGAAGAACAAAGACCCTACAGTATGATGACTTAATGACAGGGAGTGTGTGTGTGTGTGTGTGTGTGTGAGAGAGAGTGCGTGTGTGTGTGTGTGTGTGTGTGTGAGTGAGAGAGAGAGAGAGAGAGAGTGTGTGTGTGTGTGT